GAGACTATGTAACTATTGAATAAGAATGAACACAATGTTCCTTTTGAAAATAAAGAGTTTTATTTATAGGGAATACAGTGCAGCCTAGCTCACTTTAGGTTCTGCCTTGCTTGGTCTGGAACAACCAGTGGCTCAAGGAGGCTAACGTTAGCTAATTTTAGACGCATATTGTTGTGTAACGGGAATTTCTTTTTCAGCCTCCTGTCTTTATGGCTCTACCAAAGAAACAGAAGGGAAGTTTGACCGGACATTGGACTGATTCCCATGGTAATTTGACAAGTACAAAAAATGATTAATGTGGTGACAACACGCGTCAGTGGGGCCGTAAATTGTTGCTAACTAGCTAACTAGCATACAGATGCCTAGCTAGCTAACAAAGTTCATCTGGCGATAGCAATGTACTTTCCTACACTTTGACAAGTGTGTGGATGAAATATTAAGTTGTAAAATGTTACTGATTTTTGGAAAAATAAGAGATTATTCAATGTGCTGCTATCTTGCTTCTACCACGTGTGGTCACAGTGACCACTTGTAGCGCCGCCATTGCAAATAAAGGGCAAAGATGATGTTGCTGGGCAAAAACTTTGAAAAGGGATGTTGAAGAACCAGATTGATAGGCAGGATAGTGCAAAGGACAGCATTTATTACCAAAAAGTTGACTGAAAACAATTAAACAGTTAAATTCAACAAAACTAAATTAAACTGAAGCAAAAAAAGAACACAAAACCAATGAAAGCTCCTTCCTCCCCCCTACTTCACTGAAGGTATTTTAGATTCTCAGCCTCACCTAAATCAAACAAACATAATATATAACACAACATAACATAATAGTAACATAGTGTAATCTACTACAGAACTATTCTACCTATCTTCCTCCATCTTAACAGGGCCCAGCCCCTCCCTGTCAAGAGGAAATAATTAGACAAATCTGTTTTCACTATCCCTGATTGAGCAGCTGATCTACCCCGACATCCCAGGCAGAACAACAACAAAAACATCACACACAATTGAATATTATCACAGCAGACTTGCTGTGACAAAGTTCATCAACTTGACGAAGCTGATGAAATTGAAAACGCTGATGATGGCTCAGTTGAATTTAGTGTCCAAGTAAAATATTCCACTGAACCAGCATGGACAATACCAGGACCTCTCCTAACTGGAATGCAGCCATCATTAATGTTACTTAATACACAGGCGCTTCTCCTACTGACATGTCAAAATGTGTGCTGTGAAAAAGGTCTATATAGGGAGAACCTCAACAGATCATAATCGTATGAAACAACAGTAAAACAAATAATTCTATAACCTGATTGATAAATTATCAAATAAACTGAAACATTGGACAGAAATGAATAATCAAGCAGAAAGAAAAAACACTGTCAATGTTGAGGAACATGGGTGAGTGAAAAGGGAGACGACGTGACTCAGCAAAATCCATCCGTTGACGTAAGCCTTCTCGTGCTTGCTATTTGTGGACATAACAATAATAACTCCAAGGGCTTTCATCTAAGTTTTGTGGGAATGTACATCCCTTTGTTCAACAACGGCTTATTAAAGAGGGAAAAACTAGCTTGCTAACAATTAGCATGCCTGTCCCTAACACGACAATATGAGTTCCAAAAGTTTATTCCAAAAGTGTATTTGTACCATCCTCTTCTGTCTGCATATCATGCCTTTTTTTGTGCAGTAATTATGAAAGAGGGGGGTTAGATTAAAGTTGGTGATGCAACACAGCTAATAAGCTACAGTAGTTTTCTTTAATTTCCCCAAAAGATCAGCCATGTCATGAATATTGCTTAATCGTGCACATTTCAAGTGTCAAAGTTCTTCAAATTCTGCTGCAAAATTTCACACATTTAAACATGTTAACATTATGTCTCTGCAGAAGGGACACAAGCTTACCTGTATATCAGTTAATGTTGTATTCATTGTGGTTTCTGGACGACAATTTAGCAGCTGGTTCTTCCTTTAGATCTCGAACAGGCCACAAGCTTTTCATTTTCCACTCCTCACCCACACATGCTTACTGGGCCAGCAAGAAGATCAATGTTGTTTCTGCAGGTGCACACACACACACACACACACACACACACACACACGCACATGCACACGCACACGGAGAGAGAGAGAGAGCCTTTACATTTGTTTTTACTGAAGTCTCTGGGGTATTTTAACAAATAGCCTGACCCTGGCTTTTAAGCATGCATGTATTTGCACACACACGCACAAACACGTCACTCATGCTCAATGGCTCCCCAATCAATACTCCTTTTATCGAGGTTGGTATTTTGAGGCAGCCTGGAGGAGGGCGTGACAGCGAGGCTCTGAGATTAAAACAATCCTCTCTTGATTTCTTCCTCACTCAAGGGAAAGGCGGAAGCTGTCTGTTATCGTTTGTTTCTGTTATTATTCCCTGTTTACAGTTTGGGTGTTCACACTGAGCCGTAAATGAGAGAGTCAACGATTTGTCATTTCTCTTCTGAGGGAGCTGCCCATAAAACTGTGACTATATGAGAATTGAGGCTTTTAACAGTAAGAGAGGGGAAACCCAAAATGCTCACTGATTTGTTTTTTATCTTTAGAAGTTTAGAGGCTTTTGCAACTCAAGCATTTTTGGAGTCCAGGCTTCATTTGGATAATTGTTGATAATTGTTTCTCTATGCATTTATTTTCATCTTTGTTAAGCACCTGATAAACCTTTACACCTTAAACCATTTACTTGTTAATACATTTCCTCCCAATTTGTTTTTCTTTCAGGTTCTTTCAAAGTTTATCTATGCCACTGGAAATACCTGCAAACACTATAGCATCAAAACTATAAAACAATTATTGCAGCTAAAAACACTTCAAAACAGGAAAAAAGGCATGAAATAAAACTAGAATACAATCTATTTGCATTGCATATATGCATATACATTTTTATCCCAACTTGTTTTTTTCCATTTTTACTTTCTAGAATTGTATCTAAGTCAAATATTTGGACCAAAACAGTTGAGGGCTCGTTTCAATCAGTCTTGAGAATGTATTTAATTTTCTTTATTAGATTTCATAGCGGCACACATAGCCACAAATAATTATAAACAATCATTGAAAATAGCTACAGGCATTTGAATGCGTTATTACAGTTATATTATTAATAAACCCCCAAAAGCAACAGGCTCAAAAGCGTGCTGACAATACAGCGCTGTGACGACACTGAATCACACTGCTTGTGAGAGAAGCATTAAAGCACAGGGAAAGTTAATCCCAAAGGATTTCTCTCTGTCCCTTGTGTGGCTTTTTATATGTTACAGGCAAATTCATGCAGCATTTGCAGGCGCAGCGGTGCAACTGCAACGTTATTCTGGCTCACAGAGAGCGACCGACTGGAACCACAGCTGCCGGACGCAAAAGAGTGTGACGGAGCGGTAGATGACACTGTCTGCACTCTGAGTGGACTATATTATTTCAGCAGTGCAGTTATTGTTTATAATGATGATGATGAGGACTACAATGAAAGAAAAAAAGAAAATCAACAATGATGATGATGAAGGTGATGACAGATTTGTTGAGCGGCTGCTCAGCACTGCTTTCTTTCTTTCCCAGGACCTCGAAGGTCACGTAACTGTAAAGCCTTTATAATGTTTGTGCTTCAGTCTGTCTAAGAAGGAAATGAGTCAATGTAAAAAAAAAAGTGCTGACCCTGAGGTTGAGGTCGAGAGAGAGAGGGGGGGAGAGAGAGGGAGAGAGAGAGGGAGAGGGAGAGACTTTGGGAGGAGCATTAGTGGGTGAGCATGGAGGAGAGCGGGTGAGAGATAGATTTAGGAAGGAAGTTCGGGAGCTCTTGGAGAGGAAAGTTACCACGATGACGACGTGCGCGTTGGTCATCAGTGACACAGGTGTGCTCTGATGTCATAACCGAGAAGCTCCGACCAAACATCTGTCTCACGTGCGATGAAAAGAGATCCTCTATTAAAAAATTCACAGAAAAATTCATAATATCCCATTAAAGCTCATGTTCATACTGCCGGTTTTATACAGACAACAATCCAAAACGCAACACATTTAGTTTATCATCATAGATTAGACAAACACACAACAACAAATCCTCATATTTGAAAGCTGAAGGCCTTGGAAAAATGACTGAAACAATGTTTGATCAATAATAATAACAGATTGTGTGTTGATCAACTAATTGATTGATGGACCTACTGAGATTACAACCACGATAAGACAATCCCCTTCAATAAAAGAAAAGCTCTCTTTAGGAACAGTTGCTCCTCCTCTATCCTTCGTGTTTGATCTGTGCTCACCTCTTCCTTTACATCAATTTGTCTCAAATCCAGAATAAAATAAAAAAATGTATAATGCTTCTACAAATACACATTATAAAAGGGATTACAGCTAATAATCAAGATATAAAGATGACTGTTAATAGCAGACATAGATAGATATTAGTTGATTCCCCATGGGGCTTGTTTGTCATTGTCTATGCATGAACATCCACTCTATGTGTGCGTGAAGAAGAATGTGTGCACCTTTGTCTATTTATTATATTTTGATATAAGTGCAGTGGCGGATATCTTCAAAGTCTGAGACTGTCTCGTGTGATGTGTGAGCGTACATGCATGTAGGCGTGAACCGGCTTGTGTGTGTTATGAGAAGTGTGTGTTGGTATTGGTGGTGATGGAGGGGGGAGAGAGGAGGGTGGTGGAGGTTCCTTATCTGCAGGCCACAGGCAGCTTTTGAGGCTCTTATCAGCAGCCACCATATTCTACTAGCACATCCTCTTGTCCAGCAGGGAGCGGAAAACTCTCCTTGCAACATGGCTCCCTCTCTCTCTCCCCCCCGCCCCTCTCCCCCCCCCTCTCTCTCTCTCCCACCTCCCACTCGCCAGTTCCAGAGCTCTCCGACTGGCAACCAGCGAAAGCATTGTGTCTCCTTGGCGAGGAGAGTCAGAGACAGAAGAGATAGACAGGACAGTGAAAGAGAGAGAGAGACAGAGAGTGAAAGAGAGAGAGAGACAGAGAGTGAAAGAGAGAGAGAGAGACAGAGAGTGAAAGAGAGAGAGAGAGAGAGGGGTGAGAATGACATATGGGCAGAGGGGGAGGCAGAGAACATCTCCACACTTTGAGCACGTCTTCGTTCTAAGGAGCAACTTCTCAACGAAAAATAAATATGTGCGTTTGTACAATCTAATCAAACTTAATGTCTTTGTGAAAATTTGGGACTTTATTATTTAATTTTTTTCTGAGGAGTGTTTTATATGGTGTCAGACAGCTCTGACCTCAGACACTGACAGGCTGCAGTGGAGTGTGAGCGACCTGAAGAAGAAGGAGGAGGAGGAGGAGGAGGTGGGCCTTAAACACTGAGGAGATGCAACATGTGCGTTCTTAGATCGCTTAAACTCTGATGGATTTTGCATGACAGACAGACGAGCCACACTGGATGTCATAATGTATCTGTGAGTACTTATTTAATGTGTCTTCTTTTTTATTTTTTTATGCACTGTAGTGCATGACTGAGGTTCGCAGCCTCTAACAATTACATATATATGTGTGTGTGTGTGTGTGTGTGTGTGTGTGTGTGTGTGTGTGTGTGTGGGTGTGTGTGTGTGTATATATGTATATCTATGTGTTTTTTTGTAAATAATTGTCTAAATAATAATAATAGAATAGCATCTAATTGAATTATCTGTCACATGAGCCATATAAGGTGTACTTTTAGTCAAATTGTTGAAAACTGGTAATTAAAATTTGGTAGCTTTGTGGTAAATCGATGAAGATATAAATGTGATATTAAAAGATTTATCTTTACAAATTTTTCTGTTGAAAGCTGAATTACATACTTTTTCTAACCAGTCTGGTTATTGTAAAAATCCAATATATTGTGCATTTGGCTTAAACATTAATATGAAACATAATATAGAAAGAAACAGAAAGAAAAAAACACATATTGGACACACAATCTAATTTAATAAAGATTATATTAATGAATTAAAATAGCATGGAGGTTTATCAAAATGATCAAAGATATTATATTTAGGATTTGAAACAGCTCGTTGTGCAGAAACATACCTACAGACTTGCCTTTGTTGGCTACCGCAGTAAAACGAATTATCTTACTTAAGTGTGCAGCTAATTATGTTTTCAGTGAATGTATTTTACAATGAATCCTTTTAAATATGAATCTATGGTTGTTTCTGTGTAGCTCCTCTAAGGGTTCTTCCCACCGAGATATTTAAACCACAGTAAATATAACACTGCTACAAAATAAAATGATAAAAAAACTAACTTTGAGAGCATCATTGTGAAAGAGGGAACTGTCCAAAATAAAGTCATGACCACCAGAAGAAGACAAAAACAGGAACACTTGCGATTGCAAAACCTGAGAAACCATAAGAGCATTACGCCTGTCAGCTCGGTGACAACAAGCGTCTTCCTCTGTGAAGAAGTGGACTTCAAACAGTGAATTCACTTGATATCCAGCAGTTTAACATCAGGGCAGTAGTGTGTAATGAAATCTGTGGACCAGCTTCCACTGAGGAAACCACAAACAACAACAACTACTCCTGACATTTTAGTACTAGCTCTAGTGGCGCACATCTGCAAATTATGACCTTTTAGCACATTTTCATATCCATATATATCCGTATACTTACCAGAGTGTGTTTTTCTTTGTTCAACAGACTCTTTGATATCAATCCACTCTTCGGGGGTCTGGGGCGTTTTGAATGCTGAAAAGGATTTTGACTCACATCCTCAAAATACACACAGACAGATGGACTCAGTGAGAGCAGCCACTAGAGACTTCACATTCACAACCTAGAATCTGCTGCTCAGGATATTCTGTGAGAAGAATCCACTCAAAATCCGACCGCAACACCCACCCCGGGTCCACGCTGCACCCAAAGACGGTACTGCAGGAGAAGCCCTCCATTAAAAACTGCAGGGACTGCAACATTTCGGTCATTGGCACCCTCTGAGACGTTGAAGTGAGGGAATGAATACAGGCTCACGTTTACTCAAAGCCGGAGACACAGCCAGAGACTGACGACTCGCTCATTGACCCTGGCAATGATAACTGAAGGATTTCAAGTTGGCCAAAACGAAAATCTATTGAGGAAGAGCAGCAAAATATTGCGTATTCTGCAGGTAAGTGGAACAAAGGAGAAAGAAATAAAGGCTGTCAAGGAAAAGACACGTTGTTTAGAAAAAGGTGTAAAGAGTTCTGTAGGATGAGCTGCATGTGGTACACATGAGCACGTTACTGACTCTCACACACAAACAAAAGACACGCTGGATCACTTGCTGGGCAGCTGGCACTAACGGGGATTCACCACCATGATGGAGAAGATGAACCCCACCAGCCCACCTGCCTCACCCCCCGCCCTACCTTGCCACTCCTCATCCTCCTCATCCTCCGCCTCATCCTCCGCCTCATCCTCCGCCTCCTCCCCATCCTGCGCCTCCGTAGAGCAGCACAGTCCCCTCCACAACAAGACTTTGGCATCCTCGGACGCCATCAGCAGCCCGTGTCCCGCTAACAAGACAGGGCACAAGGGACACACCGATGTCCCCTCTTCTGGCTCGATTCAGTCCCCCATTGCCACGACGACCGCGTTAACCGGTCACGACGCAGACTCAGCTGCTGCACCTGAGCCCATCGTCATGGAGACCAGGGAGGAGGAGGAGGATAAGCGAGGAGGACCAAAGAGCACCTCAGTCCCTGCTGCCTCTGCCAATGGGTCCCCAACTCTTTCCTCTCCACCTCCGCTCCTCCCGGCACCAGCCAGGACCTACGCGTGCCCTGTACCGCCTCCAACCTCCACCGCCTCCTTCCCTTCATGCTCATCATCCTCTCCTCTTCCTCCACACATTCCAGTCATCAGCCTCGGTCACAGCAAACCTCCTCTCCCGCTCCCCAATACCCTTTTGACTGCCCTCCACCCAATACCCAACCTCCTACATGGGCCCCACGGGGACTTTCGCCGCTGTCAGCGGACCTGTTTTCCCGGGGCCAGCCCTGGAGCTTCTGGATCTTCTGGAGCTTCTGGAGCTTCTGGAGCTTCTGGAGCTTCTGGGGGCCCCTCAGCTCTCTCCCCAGGACCCCTGTTGCCTCAGCAGTACCTGTCTGCACACCCCTTCTTCACCAGGTGAGATATGGTAGATATGGATTCATCCATAAGCAATGTGGAATCCTTTACATCCTCTTCAGACCCTCATCAGTGAAAGCTGACCGGTGTGGATTTCCTGTCTCAGGAAGTTTTCTATTCCTTAATCTGAAAAAAAGAAAAGTCAGAAAACAATCAAAATTGTTTTTAATATTTCTACGTCTTCCCTATTGAGTCAATCATCTTGCAAATCCTCATTTTTATCTTGCGACCCCTTCGAGGGGTCCCGACCCCAAGGTTGGGAACCACAGCATTAGCAGACAACACCGATAGACAAATGTTATCCGCAGAAGTGTATTAAATCATCTTGTTAAGTTAAATACTTCTGGAGGTTGCATTTGATCCTGTAAGGATTTCTGAATAATGGAAAATATTATAATACAACTTATGAAACATCAAACAGTATATTAAATAAAAGACACACAATGCTCCTTCACATTCTTTTCATCAGAGAAGGCAAACAGGTGTGGAGCTGCCAAAATACGCTTTCCTGAGATACTAGCGATGATGATATCTCCTCGTTGGTAACAATTTCCCGTTTCATATGAAACCTCAACTGCTTGGATTTCACGACTTCCCATGGTGATTAATTGTGGCTACGCTGCAGTTATGCAAAACTGACAGCAGGATGTGTGCTGTTATGAAGGGACCTCACATTTCTCACGCTACATTTACTCATCAGCACATTTGGTCGCTGACCACGAGTTGCATCGTGGAATGTTTTCTGTGTGCATTTAGTGGTAAACAAAAAAAAAAAAGAAATCACTTTTGAAACAATAATTCTACTTTTAATTGCAGCTAAATTTAGTCGTCGATCCGGCAAAACACTACAAAACAGACCTCTTAAAGCTTTTTTGGGGGCTTGTAGAGTTGGCAACTCTTCGCTTACTCTCATGAAGAAAGGCACTCATTTGCAGACTTTATCAGAGCCCTCATACTGTGTAATTATTCTCTACTCCAAAACAAGATTTTCCTCAGTTTCTTTCCGTAACAAAGAAGTATCAGCTATGTGAATGTTGAAAAAAAAACATCTAAGGTTTCACCATCTGTCATACAGGTCTGGGAATAAGATTCCCTGCAGACTTCTCTCTGGTCTGTTTGTAGCAGTAAGCATTGATCTATTTCATCCCCCTGAAGTAGAATCAGCTAGTAAGCAGACTTAATGAGACTGAGCTAAAACTCTGCATGCACACTCAATCAACGCCACCAACATAATCACAACGCAGTCAATGGCTTCCACCGTCTTCTTCTCCATCCACTCCCCGAGATTTCCTTCTTTTTAAGGACAGAGATGCTGGAGTGACTTAACATTGCAAACTGTATTTTTTATGTATATATTTAGCTGCACTTGATTGCAAATGCAGCTACAAAAATGCCACATTTTCACACATTTTGCTGTGTTTTTATCTCTAGTTCTTACCTGAGTCCCTCGGGAGGAAGCTATGGCATCATCAGCAGCAGCCGCATCAAGAGAAGACCCTCGTCACACTTTGACTTGGAGATCAATGACTGTGAGTTTCTCTGTGACCAAATACAGAATGAGACATCAATATCAATATGTAGAATGTTTGAAATTGTATTGATGTAATTGCTGCTCACGTCGTGGAAAAGGTTAATATCCAATACATTTAAAAGATAAGGTTGCAGATGTTCTGCATTTGCCTCATTGTCAACAAGTCTTGTGAAAAAACTGACAGCAACGATGTGTCAGCACATCTCAATACTTTCCAATACAATCCTTTCAGCCCAAAGCCCATTGTTTTCACTCAAGACGGGTCATAGATACATATTAAAGTGTTATTTTTGAAAGTTAAATAATTACCGAAGACAGCAGGGCACTGTAGGTTTTGGATAATGTAACTCAACAGGAGTGAAAAAGTGCATTTGTTGGGGGACTATTTTCAGCGGTGGATTGATACACATTTGGTGCTCTAGTGAGTATTCACAGCAGCAAGGCGGTTGATTGACTCAAAACAAACTAAAGTGTCCATGCTCACCATAATGAATGAAGATGTCCCAGTAAAACAGTGTGGCTCATTGATGTGTTTTGAATACGATACACCAGGCTTTGGCCACACAAGACTTGTTCGTGCAATTTCATTGTTGTTCTTTTTATGGGATTTGTTGACAATAATAATACATATTAACTTCTTCTTATGTCCTTTAAGGCCCTGCACACTCAGACAGTGATTATGTGTGTCTAACAGGCCCTCCTCAGAAAATCGCTCGGCGTGTCTTCACCAACAGCCGCGAGCGCTGGCGACAGCAGAACGTGAACGGGGCTTTCTCTGAGCTGAGGAAACTCATTCCCACGCATCCACCCGACAAGAAGCTCAGCAAGAACGAGATCCTCCGTCTGGCTGTCAAGTACATCAACTTCCTGGTCACGCTGCTCAGTGACCAGGCACAGGACAAGACCAGGGACTCGGCTGAGGAGGAGGACGAGAGCACCGCGGCCGGGCTGGACAGTAACAAACAGAACCGTCTTTGTCAGTGCAACACTCCTCCTCCGTCCCACGCCGGCCCGCCATCCTCAGCCCGTCCCGCGACAGTCCACAGAGACAGGGACTCGACTGACTCCGTCATCGCTCTGGCTAACTCCCCGGCAACATCCAGTTGCTATGGCGACACGGACAGTGAGGAGAGCTTTGGGGCTAAGACCTCTTTGGTGACTCATGGCATTCTGGGAAAGGTCAGGGGTCAGATAAGGATGGTGGCAGCAACAAATGACGAGCGGTGACACCAGAAGACGGCGAACAAAGATGTGTAAATGTCACGGTGACGAACAGGACACTATCATCGGCAGATACCCCAAGTGTTTGAGGAACAAGTGTGATTCTCTCTCCTAAACCTTCAAGTAGGGAAAGAAGTAGGGGGGGTCTGGAGACATTTTTGTAGTTTTAACTGTCTCGATGTCTTTTACAAGTGTATCTGTGCTGTGGGGCAAGCTGAGAGGCACGAAACATCACAGAACATTCAAACAGACTCGAAATGCGTTACATCCAAATAAGGTCACAATGTTCCTTTGTCAAACATTACATGTCTAACAATGTGGATAAATTATGCAAAACAGGAACAGAACAGAAGAAATACAGGTTCTTGAACTCTCCTCTGTAGACCCATACAAATACTAAATCTCCCACAAGAGGGTTAGACACCAGTATTGTTTTGTTATGGTCTACATGCGGCCTCATAAATGTAAATAATCTGCATTGCCACAGTACAATTATGGTGACTGCTATAGAATACTCTGCAAAGTTTCCAGTTTTTAATGTCGCTGTCAGAGAGGCGAGGCAGATGGTACCACCCTCACATTGTGACACACTTGTACCAGACAGAAATAAAGTGCGTTTTAGTTTGCTGTTCCTTATTTGACATCCTCTTATTGCGCTCCAAAGACTGCTCGTTGTCAGCACGATTTCTCAACACGTCCGAATGTTTAGGGAACATTTGTGTATCCTCAAAGTGTTCAGTACAAAGAGATTCTCCGTGTGAGACCATCTCCATAACCATCAGATGTTAGATGTATGAATGCAATGTTACTGGGTAAGAGTTATGAAGGAACCAGCTTTAATTTGACTGCTTATTTTAAATAACGTGTAGATAAGTCATGTGTCCATATGTTAATAGATTGACACAACAACTTGTCACTAAACATTGCGTGCTGAATATTCAAAACAAATAGTGAGTGATGTGTTTTTCTGAAGATGAATATAATTGTTTGAAAAGAAAAAAAATGCTTTAACGGTTGTCCCATGAAGTTTTGGAGTCTTCCGGGGCAGCTGGTTTAGGGTGTAGTGTACATGTTTTCAGTGGTGGAAGAAGAACTCTTTTACTTAAGTAAGAGAAGCAATATCACATTGTAAAAATACTCTGTTACACGTAAAGGTATCAGCATCAAAACATAGGCATACTTTAAGTACCAAAGGTAAAAGTACTTATTATGCAAAATCGTCCATTTCAGAACAATATCACTTGATTTTTAGAGGTGGAAAGAGTAGAATATTGTACTCAAGTACAGGTATTGTTACTTTAAATACATTTTACTCAAGTAACGAGTCGGCTGCTTGTATAAAAAACGTAGTAAAGTAAAAGTAGGTCAAAATGCAATGTGTTAAATTCAAAAAAAGGGGGGGCGCTACTAAATTGATTGCATTAAATTTCACCTAATACACATGTGGAAAGACCCATTCTGCCCCAAACCAACCAGATTCCTCAGATTAGCTTCACAAGAATTAACCAGAAAAGAGATGAACTGATGGACAAAAAATAAAAACGAGTGATGGGCCTGAAACTTCTTTTGGATCCAACAGTTGGTCAACACATCGCCAAAGTAGACAACACAGACATGTAAACAATATTACCTCCACATCAGCGGCAGCCATGTACACACATATCACAGCAAAGGAGAGCTCGGCTCTCTGGTCCCACTGCGCTCCTCGAGACCCTGAAGATAACAGTTACTCTGTGAACTCAAAGGCATCACTGATGGATGTTAGCATTCAGCATGTTAGCCAGACCCACCGTGCCCCTACTGTTCAGGTCATGAACATGTATGTGTGTAATTCGTTAATTAAGACAGATGCAACTTTTTGATAATACCACGGTACACTAATGGTATTATGGCGACCGTGGCTCACTGGGTTAAGAGGGTTGTCTGGGAACCAGGTTCAATCCTCGGTTCAATCCTCGACTGGGACGTGTCAACTGTCGAAGTGTACCTGAGCAAGACACTGAACCCCATGCTCCCCGGGCGCCTGTCATCGGCAGCCCACTGCTCCCTATATACAGGGATGGGTCAAATGCAGAGACAAATTTCCCCCTTAAAGGGATCAATATAGTATAATAAAAATAAATATTATAACCACACCATATTGATTTGATGTTGCTTGAAGTGACCCGGCCCAAGAACTCTTGGGGCGCGTGAACATAAACATTTATAACTTATAATCTCCGGAGTGTCACCTGTGTGGACATAGTCAGTATTTTTAGTAAATTAGGCTTAATCTATAAGAATACATTATTTGTTGGTTGATTTATATATTGTATTACTATGTGGTTGAATAAATAGTGAAGTGAAATGTACAATATTTGCCTCTGAAGTGTAGGCTAGTGGAGTAGAAGCAGCCTATAAAAGTAGCAGAAAATTAAAATACTCAAGTAAAGTACAAGTACCTCAAATTTGCACTTACGCACTTGTACTTGAGTAAATATAGGCCTACTCCACCACTACATGTTTTTGACGTGTCTGTGCATTACGTGTGTGGCAAAAGATTTATGTAACAGCAACAATTGCAGGTGTGCGGTTGTGTGAGGAAGGTATGGGTGGATGTGGGATGCGGTAGAAGAAGGGGTTCAGCTTGGTGGTGGGGGGGGGGGGGGGGGGAGATCGGAAGAGCGTCGTGTAGTTCCGATCTTCACGTCCATTACGCACCCGATA